TAACAAAACAAAAAATAAAAAGTAGATGAGCAAACAAAAGCTCTAATTATAAAAAGATTTTAAAAATTAAATCAAAAAGAAAAAGAATTATTAAAACTGGATGCAATTTTAAGAGTAAGAAAATTTCACGCAGTTACTTTTCATTTTTTGGGTCTGTGTAATTTTACAATTCATTTTTATTTTTTTTTCTGCTGGAAACATTGATCCTATTATCTTCTTTCTTAATATTTCATTTCAATTTTATATATATATATATATATAAAAAATTTTATTAAATTTTTTAAAATTAAATTCCATGTTTAATTTTTTGATTATATTTTTCCAATTTGTGTGTAAGTTAAACATTTTCATCAATAACTTATTCATATTTGTAAAAATATAATAAAAATTAAGCAGACAAACCTTGTTGGTTTATTTCAGTAAGATTGGTTTGATTAAATTCTTGGTGTATATATATATATATATATATATATATATGCATACATACAGTTGATGTTAAATCATAACTAAAGAAAGGAATATAAATGGCTATTACATCCTTTAAACTTGCATTTTTTTTCATCAAAAAATCAATAGCTGAAAACTGTCCCACTATTTGACTTTGTACTGAAATGTAACGACTTAATAAAAATAGATACATTTTCAATTCAAAATGTTAAAAATAAAAACAAACATAGTCTATATTTTCCACCATTTTATGTTCGAAAGTTACGCCCCTTGCATTCTGAATGACAGTTATCTCCCTTACATTAATCTACGTCTTAATGTTTTGAAATTTCTAGTTTGTCATATTTTTCTAATGTTTTGACGTTAAAATGGAAGAGATAACGGCTTGAATCTCAACAGAAAAGAGTAAATCGTAAGAACACAAACACATTTTCGTTTTTCATTCCTTTGATAATTCACTTTAACAAACTGATGAAATTTAAATATAGCATGAAACCTTCAAAATCGTTTTATTGATATCTACTGGCTTCAGAATTGTTATTGTTAATGTTATGTTAAGGATATTTTTGTCACTGATCATATCCCATATAATTTTGGATGTATTTGTAATTATTTTGATATTAAGATTGGATAAATTGTTTTGGATAGTTGATGTTAAGGAGTTAGTAGGTAGTATTAGCAGCATTTTAGTCTTTCTATATTTAGAATTTCTAGAAAGTTGTTCTTTCAAACATATTTTACCACAAAATTCTCCTTACTTTATACATAGATGATTCTCTATTAATATGTTGACATGACAATTTTACCTGATCTTGTTAAAGTTAATAACATTGAACCCACAATAGATTTTACTTTTGAATTTGGGACTAACAACATTTTACCCTTCCTAACTAATATTGACCTTTAGTTGGAAGTTTACAGAAAACCTACCAACAAGAATGATTTTATTAATTTCTTTTCTCACTACTGCAACATAATAAAATCTGGAATAATTATAGGATTATATTTAAGTGAACTAAGAATCTGCTATGTTAATATTTATCTGTAGAAGAAATATACATAGAAAACACCTTTAAAACTGTTCACTATCCTCATTAATTCATCCACAATGCTAAGAGTAAGGCATACAAAATATACAACTACAAAAAATAATGACATTAATAACAATAAACTAAATAAAAACAGACATCTAATACTAACTACTAACTCTTTAACATCCACTATCCAAAATAATTTATGCAATCTTAACAATATCAAAATAAATACAACCACATCCATAACTATTATGGATATGATCAGCACCAAAAATATCCATAACAATAATAATTCAGAAGCAGGTGTATCAACTGTCATGACTGTTTCTTACAATATATGTTTTGAAGAATAAAAAAATATTAAAAAATTAAAATTTTCAGACACACTGGGTTGTATATTAATATTTCTTTGTTTTATCATTTCAGTTAGGTTCCTCGACTAGTTTCAGACAGCATGCCTATTATCAGGAGAAAAAAAAATTCCTGCTTGTTAGTAGTAGTGAAATACAGGATATATATATATATATATATATATATATATATATATATATATATATATATATATATATATATATATGTGTGTGTGTTTTGCCAGTTTGCGACTGGAAGGGATAATTCTGAGGAGGATATAAATCCAGGGAGAGCTCAATGTAGACTACAGAGCATTATAATGATAATAAGAAGATGGAGACTTTACAAAATGGATAATTAAAGTCTCTGTCTTAATATATATATATATATATATATATATATATATATATATATATATATATATATATATATATATTCATAAATATTCTCAGATAGAGTGTATCTGTAGACAAGACAAAATGAATAAAAGGAGACAAGGGAAAGAGACATTACCTTGTAAAAGTCTCTCAGAGGACAAAATGCATTGGCTAAGAATAGTTTTTCCTCTTATCTCCATATATATATATATATATATATATATATATAATGTACAGAAATTGTTTATCAAAAGCACCCTGAAAATAGATTACTTTCAACCAACATACAAAAAAAAAAATACAGAAAAGTGCTTTCTGGGAATTGTACCAATTTAATCCTTACCTGCAGTTACAGAAACAAAAACAGTTGTATTTTTGATTGGAACATGCTTGGCACCTGATATTGTTTACCAATCAATGGTGAGAATTTGAGGTATTCTAGTCATGTTAAATACTGGGAGTGACTGTAGCTCCATTGAAAATATAGGTACAATAATCTTAAGTCTTAATATAATAGATTAAGCAAGTAAGACAACACTATGAAAATATATATGGGTGATAAAGGATCCTATTAGGAGTAACCTGGTAATCAGATGGTCTATATTAAGAAGAGCATGTGTGGCATAGGGTTAGGAAGATGGAACTTATGCATGCTGAAGTTTCTCCAACAAAACAGACTGCTTAACAAAAGAACTGAATTATTATTGCAAGGCTGATATGGAAATAAATACCTTTTGTGTTGCCCCTGACATTGTGCATATTCTCTTCTACATGGATTTTGAGACAAGATGAAGATAGAATGCATGGTTGTTAGCAAAATATGCAAATTACAAATTGGAAATTCCAAAATCAAACTTTAACAGAGGACAGAAAGAGTGACACTAAAATCAGAAGGCATTTTGGGATAGCAAAAGTTGCCTTCCAAAAGCTAAGCTAAGTACTAAGAAAAAAAAATTCATCAGAAACAAAGAAAAGATTGCTGAATTGATATGAAGGAGAGACTTGAAGCAACAGAAATGTGGTTCTACAGAAGGATGCTGAGAATAGACTGAGCATGTGAGCAATGACAATGTTTTAGAGAAAATGGAAATAAAAAGCACACTTATACTTAATATCAAAAAGAGTTAGCTGAAATTTCTAGGGCGTAATGAGGAAAGAGTGCTTGGAAAATTTGATACTCACAAGACAGACTGAAGGCAAGAGGGATAGATGAAAACGACACATAACCTACCTAGCAAGCTTTAGTAAATATATGGTGGACCATGGTTTAGGTGAGACAAGAAAAGAGAAAATTTATTAAGTGCAAAAAAGGACAGGAAATAGTGGAGAGCTATAATCACCTATGTCCCTTTGACATATAAAGAAGAAGAAGAACAATAAATATATATTCATATATATTTCTAAAAAAGTACTTTTGTGAGTATATATTCAACAAACTTTACAATTATTGCTGTAGACCAATGATTCTCAACCTTTTTTTACTTTTTACTCATGGACCACTTTTACTCTTGATTCGTTTTGGTGGACCCCCCACCCCCGTCAATTATTTGATGAATAAAAAAGCTTATTTTATTTTTTACTAATAGATAAGTTTAGGAATTGTATTATAGAAATAGAAAATGTATAAGCTTCCTTTATATATAATCCTTAAATTAATTCTAATATCAATTTTTTATTTTTTTAATAGTTTATATTGATTAATTTATATTAATATATTAATATTTTATTTCATTAATATTTAAAATTATATTATTTATTATTAATATATTAAATTAATTTATATAATAAAATAATAATATATATATATATATATATATATATATATATATATATATATATATATAATCCTTCATTGTTTTTATTCAACTTTTACAATCAAAACATCTGGCAGAATAAAAGGGACACTCACTTACATTGCTTGATCTCATTTTCTGATAGTTTTAGAGTTATTTTTTTAAATGTTAGTATTTTAATATTATGTAGATTACTGTAGAAATTCCAAATCTCAGTTGTAACAACCACTCCAAAGAGAAATTACTCTATGGACCACTAAAATATTATGGTGAACCTCAGTAATGTTACATGGACCCTTTGGGTCCAGAACTGATGCTGAAGACTTTGATCAAAGAAACACAGACACTTTAAAGAAACATTGATTTAAGAATAAGAGAAATCACATTTTGGTGTACTAATTCTGTTTCCCAAGCTGATAAACACAATACGATTCCCAATCTAATATATAATTTTATCTGTTAAAACAATACTGAGCCTACTAATTAAGGCTTAAATAATGGACAGATAATTATATGAGTTGAAAATCGGAATTGAATTCAACAGAATGATTCAATCAGTAACAACAACAAAAAAAAAAAAAGAAAAAAAAGAGAAACTTTATAAATTTAAAATGTTTTGCCATTTATTAAGCTTAATTTTCAATTCAGTGGATAAAGTGTCATTTTGTAAAATGATAAACTTTATGTTTTTGGTGTTGATAGTACTTGCTTTTTAAGTCTTGTATGTGCATTGTGGTTTACTGGATATTGGCTTAGAATGAGGAATCCAAACATCTGAGTTAAATTAACAGTCAAGTTCATTACATTTGCCTACATTTGGGAAAAGGTATGAGCGTATATCTTCTGCTCCCAGCTATGGGTTGAATAACAGAACACACTGCATCCTATAGCCTTGATTGGCAGCCAGCCTACTGTAGAAAGAAATGGCAACCTACTGAGGGAAAATCTCTACCTAGTCAGTAATGAATGGCACTAAACTGACTGACTGATGTATGGGCTTACAGTCATACCACATTAAAACATTGGTTCTCATATGATCACCAAAGTTAAGCAAGCCAAGGCTGGTTAGTACATAGATGGGTGACTGCTTGGGAATACCAGATGCTGTAAGCTTGGATGTGCAGGTGGTGTAATAGATAATGGCTTGGAATTAGAAATTGGAGAGCCAAGTTCCAATTCCAGGTGGATTCGTTAAATTCACTTGTGCATGAAGACTTTTTGGAAAGGCATGAATCCACCTCATCTCCTCCCATTTATGTGTTAATTATTAGGACTTGTATTCATAAATCATTATTATCTCCAAACACTTCTTACAATATGTGGTAATAAAATAAGTATATCCCATCTACCCTCTTGCTTTTAACCAACCCTCACAATAAAATAAATGTTTTTGAAAATAAAGCCTCATAAGCTTCTACTGAGAGTTGTTATATTACACAGTCTAAAAATAATTTCTGGTTTTAAATAACCTGCAAAGGGTTGATAAGGTATAAAAAACAAATCAACCAATATTGTATGTATGATTTTGTTGACTGTTAAAGGGAATGTTCCTTTAGATTTAACAAGGTGATTTCTCAGGATGTTTAGGGATTTTCTGACAGAAATATTGGTATGTAGTGACTTATCATCTACACCATTGGGCTGTTTGGTGTTTCTTAATGGTACACTTAATTTCATAAGGAAAATAATGTTTCTTAAAAAAGATTGTTTTGTTTTGTTCTCATTCTCTCTCATACATAACCATATAAATAGACAAGGATTAAGTTCATTGTTTCTTGAATTTTGTAAACTTTTGGTGAAAATGCAATGTCAATGGATATTTTTTGTCTTTTTAACTCCTATTCTTTTATTCCTCTTGCTGTTTAATAATGCCTTTCTTTTTTCTTATATTCTATTTCCTTATATATTATCAGTAACACCACCCACTGCATCAATAATCTCCCTGATGTCATCAGTTACCAAGTAGGTATCTATGCAGATAACAACACCATTTACTTCTGTCTCACTTGACAAAGCAACCCTGCTGCTCTTGAAAAGGACCCCCCCGCAATCAGTGATTGACTAAGGCAGGAAATGTCTTGTAAATTTGAATGCCTCCAAAACTAAACTGCTCTCATTTAACCACCATAGAGTAATGTCCCTGAACCCCCATCAGCATAACTAATGCTTGTCTCCATGGGAGCATCTCACTTTCTTGGTCTTATGTTTTCAACTAACTCAAAGTAGAACAACTACATTAAATCAATAGCTGCATCTATTTGTTAAATTTGAATGTAAACCATCTTACACAAACAAATCTACCATTCATCCTTGCATTTAACTGTTGCCATATCTGGTCTGGTGCCCCTGCCAATCATCTTGAGGTTCCCAAAGAAGGATCTGCAATGTAATTGGTCCTGAATTGGCTTTGTCAGACACTTTCTCCATGGGTGGCTTCCATCTCATTTTCTACAAATATTTTCGTAGCAACTGTTCTGATTATTTTTGTCCCAACATGAAACTGCTGCTAGATTGGCATCTAGGAACAATTGAAATAGTTAAAAATAACATAGCTCCAACAGTTTCTTTTTCACACTTTATAACATTGGAACTCTTTCCTCTCACGTGCTTCCATGATATTCACAATCTTCAAAAATTTAAAAGCAATGTCAATCACCATCTTCTGTTGGAATCCCTGTCCTTTTTCCTTTCCTCAATCCACCCCTCTATACACTTTTATCTCTTTCACTATCATTCCAGTTGCTAGTGGCATTCATTTTGCTTGGGGTTTTTATTTAATTATAAAATGTTTTATTTACAAAACATTTAATTTCATAATTTTCCAAAAATGAAGAAAATTCTAAGATTTTGAAACTTTTGATAAAGTATATATTATATATATATATATATATATATATATATATATATATATATATATATTATATATATTTTCCTGAATTGTCAGAAAATTTTTTTTATTCATGTTTTAAATGAATTGTCTTAAATAAATGACTGAATGGCCGATTTTTTAAATGGAGACTACAAACTTTTCACCACCATATATATATATATATATATATATATATATATATATATATATAATAAAAAAGACTTAAACACTAATATTCCATGGTCATAATTTATTCCATTGGAATCGTAAATACGATCCAATTCATCAGACCTAGAAATTCAAAAGAAAACAAAAAAAACAACTCCGGAAATAAAAAATAGAATTTAGAGAGAGTGTAAGTATGAGAGTGTGGGATGAATGTTAGAGTTAAAGAGAGGGGTAACAGATGAGAGAAGGTGGGAGATTAAAACTTAACAGAGAGAAGTTTTAGAGAGGTGAGTTAAAGATGGTTTAAGTGAGAGAAATATGAAAGATGTCGGATGTCTAATACATTAAAGCTGTAACCGGAAAGGATACATTTTGTGGTAACATACACACACAAAAGACGATCTAATCTTAAAGATCAGAAGAAGAGGGAGGGAGAGGAAAAGAAAAGAAAAAGGGGTGGGGGAGAGAGATGGGGCCGGGGAACTAAAACTGAAGGGCATTTACTGAAAGGGCCGCTGTGTAATTAAGAAAATTTGACAAAATTAATATTGACTACAGGTTACAAATCAAATATAAACATATAAAAAATAAATATAACGATTATATAATCTAGCAAGGACCTCTATTTTAATGTTCAAAAACACATGGGTATACACACATACACAATAACATATATCCTTACTCTGTCCTGGACATTGAGTTCTACCTGGATTCTATCCTCTTGGAATTTTTTTATTCAAAAAAATATATATGTATGTGTATACATGTATGTATATATATTTATATATTTTGCATATGTATGTGTATATTTACCACTAATATTATATATATATATATATATATATATATATATGTATATATATATCTTCTATGGATCTTCAAGTGAATGGAACAGACCTCGTCATCATAAACAAGAATGGAATTTGATGCAATATGGCTGTGACTGTTCTAAAATTGAAAAAAAGTGAAAAGCTAGACAAATACCTGAAGGTCTTGATATGTATCTGAAACTTACCTGAGAAGTGAAGAGATTGTGGAAAAAGAAGATAACTATCATGAATGGAACATTTGGAATAACCTTAAAGAGGTTTACAACAAAGATTAGAAGAAACCATCCAGATATTGGAATTACTAAAATTCAGTAAGGATACCGAGAAAGTGTTGAGGGTAGTTGCTGTCACCTAATGTTATATTAAGTGTATGGTAACAAGAGAAAGGGATAATGAGGATTAGAGTGAAACAATGCTTATTGTTCGTAGAGAGTACAAGAATAGCGATCAGGTATATGCCTAGTGTTGGGAGTTGAACCATTTCTTATGCTGGCATGGCTGAGGTCACAAGATACGGTTGGTGCATGTTGGATTGAGGTGGTCTTGGTAGCCCTGTTCTGTGGAACAGAGGTCACTGCATTGACTGTTAAGGTAATGCCTTTAAAACCAGTTGCAGTAGAGCTGTTCTGTGGAGCAGAGGTTGCTGTGTCAACTACAAAGGAAATGCCTTGTAAATGAGTAGAGGTAGAGCTGTTCTGTGGATCAAATGTTGCTGGGGTCAACTGCAGAGGGCATACCTTTAAACGAGTTGAGGGAATGTCTTGTAAATGAGTCAGCAGGAGTTGGGAGGTCGAGGTGGTAGGTCAGTCCACAAAATGGTAATGGTCGTTGAGATGTGTGGTCATGTTGAGTAGTGGTGGTGACAATGGTGGTAGTAGTGCTCTGCATGGTGGCCGGTCTGCAACTTTATTGTCAAGGTAACGAGGTCATGGTGTTGGTAGCAGCAGCAGTGCCCTGCGTGAGAGTCCGGCAGCCACGCTGAGCCATGACTGGGTCTGGCCATCCTCAGAGCCTGCTTTTAAGCAGGTCTAGTAGTCCCAAGGGCATCTCTTTTACTGGCGGAAATGTTCGTGATTGACCACTTTGTAGACCAGATGTGGTGCGTGAAGCCCAATGTGCAGAAAAAGACTTTTGTTATTTCATCTTCTACCTTTGTGGCGGTCACACCTGGCCAGCATGCAGAATGAATCAGAATGAGATCTAATTGCAATGGAGTATAATGCTGAGAAGCAATAAATGCTACCAAGTACAAATGGTGTGAAAATTCAGCAAAGACGTAATATAAAAATCACATATAGTTTTATAGGATACTAAAAGATTTATAGGAAATAAAACAGATTAAACATTCCCAATGCAATGACATGCCAAAATTAATTCTTTGAAATATAACACAAAGACCCAGATATTCCTTGTGTTTCTTAATTATACAATTGGGGCTATAAAATCTTTTTTGAAGCAACTGCCACCTCCATCAAAAAAATCTTCTAAAAACCAATTCTTAAAAAGTAAATAAAACAGTTGATGTAATACTTATCAGAAAAGAAGATCCTTTGTAATTGTTTTGTTGTTTCTGGGTCCAAGTAAAAACTCATAAAATGTCCATTTAATTCTGTCACATTTACCTGACCAGGGATCCAATCATTTGACTTCATTGACTTTATTCTGACTGTAATTGGACATTTTGAAGATGAATCCACCAGGGAAATCTCCTTTCATGTTTCAAATTGCTAATGGCTGAAAATAAATCAGACTGCGACACTTCACCATTTATCTAATTACCTTATGGGTTTTTTAGTTTGTTCTTTTCATCTACTCAAACATGAGTGGAACAGTCTATCAAGTTTGTGTTCCCCTTCGCTGAGGATTACTCCTTTTCTTTTTTTTCTTTATAGACCAGTTTTTATTCTTTATTGTATTTTTGACCTTGATTCATTTTTTATATTTTTATTATCCACATATCTAGCTATCAACCATGTTTTCCTTCTTTTTCCTTTCCATCTATAATCTTCCTTATACCATTGGCTTTCACTGAAGGTCACAGCTTGGCTTTTGTAAAGACCAATTTCAGATGGAATGTCCTCATTTTCTTTACCATTCTTACAAATAAATTTTTGAGAAAATATGTAATTTTTTTTTACATTCAACCAATCATGGTGAATATAATTTTAAAGGAATTATTGTTACTTCCATCTTTTATACCAGTTGTTCATCCAATTATTTGTGGCAAGAAGCAAATACTTTTTAAAATTGTTTATGAGATGGGTAGAAGAGAATCTTTTGAAAATTTAAGAAGAAATTACTATGAGGAAAATAACTTGTCTCTTTCAGATATTGTAGCAATATTTTTATTTATTGAATTTAAATGTAAATAATAGGGAACATTTTGAATGACACTGGGTTGATTAAATATTTCATTCTGCATTCTGTATCTTTAAGTGGCATTTCGATTATTTGTTTTACAATAAAATCATTGTAAAAGAATAATTTTGATGATTTGAATGAACTAATCTCCTTTTTATATTTGTGTGATGGACTCAGTTTTTTAAAAGTGTTGTATCTTTGTGTACATTTTCTCTTTGCAGAATAAAGACTCAATTTGGTTTTGTTATTATCTTGTTTTATACTGATATTGTAACAACTGATATACGACTATAAATTTTTAACAAGAATTGTTAAATCTGGCATATTTTTCTTTCTTGGTCCTAACATTGAAAATGAAATAAAATAAAGAATAATTTCAGTTTATGAGGGGATGCGGGAAAGTTCATGTTCTGGTTCTCTTCCTTTTTTTTTTGAAAGACTTTCGAATAACTATGCATATGTCTATAGATCAGTATCTGTCTATATTTCTGAGATGAGGTATTGTGTACATTATTTACATTAGTCGGACTATTACCCTCATCTTTGTCGCCATATTTATTACAATGTTTCAGCTGTTGTACACTCCGGCCTTCTTTGGTGGTTGGAATGTCAAAGTGAACCCTTTATTTTGCTCACTGGGGTAGATTGTCCTAGTTCCATGTGCCATGTTTAATGGATGTCAGTTATCAGTGATCTCCTGTAAATAAAGTGTATGGATCAATTATAACAAAATTAGCATAGGAAATGAGGAAACTGAATATAGAATAGGTTGTACTAGAGGTAATTTCACCCAACACCACAAACTGCTACTAAACCAAAACATTAACATGAAATCCTCATCCGATCGAGACTTTCATATAGATACTATGCATGGTGCCAAACACGTTTAGAAATATCTGAACTGTCACCTGTATACAACCATTGTCTAAGATGAATGGTTAATGAGTAAATGAAGCCTGACTGTCTTGGCAAATACTATTCTTTTTGAACCTTGAGGACTGGTGCTACAGAATCACAAACAAAAACTGTACAAAATAAGAGAAATCACGGCATGACTTTCAGCAGCAGTAACAACTAAAATGGATAGCACATGTAACTCAAAGAGAAAATAATGACATCATAAAAATGTTGAAATTTCATACTACTTCCAATAAAATGTTAGGAAGAAAGTCCCCATCAATACTGGAAAGAGTGACAATCACTACTGAATTTGAGAAACCTGTCTTCCTTTAAAATTGTTTTAATAGAATGATTCTATAAATTTCAACTGAATGTTGAATATTTCCTTATAAGGAAATGGCTAATATTACCTTTACCATTATCAGTGTTGAAAGAGGGGCTAGTATGTTGAATTCACTTTTGAACAAATACCTCCACCTACTGGACTTATAAACCTATTTTCCTAACAAATTGTTTTAGTAGAAAGATTTTATAAATTTCAAATGAACCTATTTGTTGTAGCATACCTATTGATGATAATGGGTATGTCCCCATTCATATAAATACAGTAGTGAATACTGTATGTTGGTCTGTAGTTGGAGATTCATTGTAGAATTCACTTGAATCACTTCTAGCAGTTGACTACTTCTTCTACGTGCTGCTGGCAAATCTTATATGTGTTGTTCTTGTCCTAAGTATATCGTTCATTACCAACCTTTGTGTGATTATTCAGTAACCTTCCCTAGGTTAAAACAGTATTACTGGTTGCACTGTCAATGAATGCTGAAAGTTTTTTTTTTTTATAAGGAAATGGCTAATATTACAATTACTTGGTTAGGTCAAGTATTTTTCAGCAGAACCTCATAATATACATTAAATAAATGCAAAAAATTTTTTATTTCAAAAAGTTAAAAATACAACAAAGATTTGCACACTTTATAGGGAATATAGTATGAAAGCTTAAAAGTGTCATTGCAGCCAACCAGTAACAAGATGTGATACTTGACCATGAGGCAGGATACAGGAAAAAGTGAACTCATGCCTTTCCAAAAGGCATTGCTGTGAGGTAAACATAAATGGATGAGGATGAAATTTGAATTCTGCTGACCAATTCCATTTTTCTAGTTAATAACTATCATGTTATCCTGTACCACACTCTTTCTTTCTTTTCTCCGTACCCCACCCCGCACACACTATATACGCACTCAGCTTTCTATCTCAGCCATTTTGTAAAAGCCTTGGTAATGCATCTCAGTAATAACAGCAATAAAAGAAACTGGATAATGCTAAGTCGCTAGAATAAAGATAATACAAATCAAATAAAAGATGACAAAATAACACGAATGCCAAGACCTATTCTTGTATTCAACATTCTTTTCAGGATGCTTTTAAGCGAACAGCATAAAGATGATAATAGATAGTAATGACAATATATAATGATAAGGTGTGACAATTCAATGAGCCATTCTGTGGAATCATTTTGGAAAACAGAATCCTTTTACACAGACAATTGGATTGGAATTGGTTCATCAAAGGCTCCAATCCATTTCAATTTAAATCTTTACAAGTGATGAGCTAGTTAAAAGAAATTTTATATGACAATTTGATTACCATAATAAAAAGATTTAATCATAGAATAATGTAAAAGTATAATCTGAAAAATTCATACATAAAACCACATGCACACACACACACACACACACACAAATATATATATATATATATATATATATATATATATATAATTGTGGTTTGGCATTACAAAGATTAAGGAAGATTTTACACATATTTTGAAGATCTGCCAATAACTTGAAGATGCACAGAAACAAACATTTTTTACTTTTGTATATCAAGGAAGTTCAATTCATAATCTTCATTCTTAACACGTTGGTTCTCACATGACCTACTGGAGGGTCATGGTGGTATTTCTGCAAGGCCCACATGTCCCTCTGGTGGGTTGTTTTTTCAATTTCTTTTTTATGAGGATTATTGGGGGTCGGATTCTATGATTGATTGCTTATGAGACCATCGTTCAACAGAACTACATGTTTTTCCCCCCAAAAATGTAAATATTTTTCAATTTTTTGTCTTTTATTTCATTTTTTCTTTTGGAATTTCTGCAGTTGTTTTTTTTTTTTTTTGTGTCATTTTAAAAAAATTGTACATACACAGAGCTGTACCATGCATTCTGAACGACATACCAGTGGGCTGTGGGTAGTAAATACAATCTATGATATCCTTGCCTCAGATATGAAAAAATTTTAAAACATACCATCACTTGTGTAGTATGATCCATCTCCCCCAATTAATGAATCTGTCCTGAACAGTTATATTCAAGAGAACCCTGCTGATTTATTAAAGCTTACTGATAAGCAATACATATTGTCTAGAACAATTCTATTACAGCTTGTACCAAAATTAATTAAGATATGATGTTGGGATCATGGGACAAGGGAAATAAAACTTTGGAGCCAATGTCTTAAAGAAGATGAAAAAGATGTCTTTCAGAAAAGCTAAGTATTAAGAGTTGGACAATATCCAGAGAAACAAAGAAATTATGACTGACAATAATTTTTAAATGGATTTTTGAATCTATTTAAAACAAAAATGCAAATCCTTTAGTGAGACTTCTCAATCTAGGCCAGTTGTTACTAATTTCAATATTTACGAAAATATCAAACAAGGATGTATAATCAAACATTTGTACCCACTAAAAATAATGTTTACGGTAATAAAGTAATGAAATATAATGTCGAATAAAAAAAAATCCATTTGGGTACAAAAATGAAACTAACAGATTTCAATTCAAAAGGTCCCAATGAGAAATATGCTTTCTTTTCTTAAATAGATAATTGAATTTGCTTTATCATGATGGTCTCCATACGGCCAAAATTGCTAATGACACACTTTGCCTTTAGGAGTGGTGTTCCTGATGGAAAAAAGGTGATACATGTTCAATTCCTGTCGGGCGGCACATTTTTCTTTAGGACTTTTCTTGATCTACGCTGTTTGACATTAATTTCACTCTTTAAGAAAATGATAAAAAAAAACAAAAAACAAGGATGTCAACTCAAATGTCCCCACTAAAAATAATGCTAATAACTGAATAAGAATGCATGCAGTAAATATTTTGGTGCAACTGCCGAAACAGGTAAGGTAATCATGTGACAGTGAATCAGCCAAGTATGAATATATCAGTTCCATATAATTAAGATGATTGTGGCAAAACAGATTGCTTGTGCATTAACAAGAGTTAGCAATGTAATCAATGCAGAGTTGCTTGCCCATGTAACCCCTCTTTTAGGTTACCTGCCCAAGTAAGGTAATTATGGCAGATTGTTCATATACTCACCTACCTAGTCAGCTAAGTTTATCTAGGCAAATATCTTACCTGTTCAAGTAAGTTAATTATCACAGAGATGTTCATGTACACACCTGCCTGGGTTGGTTGATTGTGCCTGTATCTACTCAACAATTTTATCTGTGTAAGTCATGTAATTAATGGAGATGTCGATATAGAAATACATTCTTATCTCTGTCTACTTTTGTAAAATTCCAGTAACAAAACCTTGGCCAAGATAACTAATCCACAAAGAGCTGGAGTATGGCGATATCACATTGAAACATCAGTTCCCATATGATCACTGAAGTTAAGCAACATTGAGACTGGTCAGTACCTAGAGGGGTGACTGCTTAAGAATACAAAGTGCTGTAAGCTTGGATGTGCAGATGGTGTAAAGAATAAAGGCTCAGAATTATTCCTCAGAGAGCTGAGTTTCAATTCTATTTAGATCTGTTATATTCACTTATGTACAAATACTCTTGACAAAAGTATTAATTCACCACTTCTTCCCCCCAGCTATGGATTAAATTATTAAAACTTTGTCTTCTTCTTTTATGTGCCATGTCCATTCAGGACGTAGGCGATCATGGCCCTCCACATCTTCCTGTCTCTTTTATCTTTTGTCTTTTTTATCTCTCCCAAACCCTGTTCTACTGCCCATTTGATCAAGCTCATTAATTATATTACATGTTGCTTTCCTCTGTCCCTCAATCTGTCCTGTGAGTATCAAGTTTTCCAAGCCATCCTTCCTCATTGTGTGCCTCTTCCTGATGTTAAGTATAAGTTTTGTTTTCATTTTCTTGAAAACCTTGTTGTTGCTCACATGTTCAGTCCATGGTATCCTCAGTATCATTCTGTAGAACCACATTTCTGTTGTTTCAAGTCTCTTCTTCATCTGTGAGGAGATTGTCCAGCATTCGCTATCACCAAACCTTTATTATCTCCTCTTAAAAATATTCTTACAATCTAAAAAATTTTTTTTCTGGATTTAAATAAGCTGAAAAATGTTGATAAGCCATAGAAAATGAATCAATCAATTTGAACTGACTTGATGACCCTCACTTTTCATGCTGTTTGCTGTTATACTAACTGCATTGGAGTCAATGTGTCATAAAAATTAATTTGAATCATAATTCATAGCAGTTTTATTTTCTTTTAAACATGATAAAAAAATTGAAACCTGCAAAGTATATTTGTTGAATTCTTTTCAGTATGTTTTAATCATTTGTCAATCACATGAAGTATCAATACAGGAAATATTTGGCATTTATTGACCAAAGAGATAGTGTTGCTCTTGGTTGAAATTAATACCATTTTTCTTTAAAAACATTTTTTTCAGGACAATTGGTTTTCCAAGTTCACTGTTATTATACTTTCTGTTTGATTGGAGTTTTCCTAATCTTTGTTTATGGTAGTGTGGAAAAACAACATAAAAAATTAACAATTTTTTAGGAAAATAGCTTTTTCAAGTTCAGTAGCTATTATCACTCTTTCCTGCATTGATGAGCTATTTTCTCTTTAACCTTTTATTTAAACATCTTTCTGTATTTCGGATATGAGATATTGTAACTATTTACATAATTTGGACTGTTGTCCTCATCATTATTGCCATATTCGTAGCATTTCAGCCACAAAAATCTCTTAAGCTGGTCAAGCATAACCATAAACACAATATGAGAACTAATGATACAGACAACAAGAGAAAAGTAACAGTAACAGAAATTGTAAAAAATGGTTAGGTTTATAAGTCTCAGAAATTCACTCACAGATGTCCACAAAGACACATGGTCCAGTTGATAAAAGTGTTGAAGTAATTGAAAAATTAACTTGACCAAAAGAGTTCAGAGGGAACACAAACTTGGAGAGTTGAGTCACTAAAGGAAATTAACTGAAACTGAGATATCCAGAAAAGGCATGTATTAGAACAATCTATCCTTGTGGACTGAATAAAGGGTTTTGTTTGAAATTCCAATGTATATCACTTGAAGAAGGCTGGAGTGTAAAATATATGAATATGGTAATAAAGATGAGGACAATAGTCCGAATAATGTAAATAGTGTAAATTTTATTTGAAGTAGTGTGAAATGTCAGTATCTTCATTATGTCATTATTTTCCCCTCTAGTTACATGTACCAACCATTTTAGTTGTTTCTGTTATTGGAAGACTATTCATACATAACATTATTGTTTATTCTATTCTGGACATCGTTTTTTTCTTTTTCTTTTTCTAATTGGTATCACTCCAAGCAAGGCAGTACATTCGCTAGCGTGCAAAGGGTTACAGGGCATGGAGGAATTAGTAACAGAAACATTAGTAATGAGTAGAAAGAGTAAAAAGAAATCAGCAGGACAGCAGATAGCGATTGACATTGCATTTAAATTTTTGCAGATTAAATTTGTCTGAAAAGTACAGAGCTGGAAGGGAGCTCCACAAACAAGAAGTGCAAGAAAAGAATCTGTTAGCATAAAAGTTACGACTACATCTATTCAGCTCAACACTAAATTGATGTGATCTCATTGCAAGTCTAGTACTGCACTTAAATTCATACTGTCTAGGTACCATAGCATAGAGCTCATCCAAACAATTACCATAAAACTATTTAAAGAAAAGGCACAGAGAGTCAAGTGACTGAAGCTGAACTGCCAGATCAAGACCAATAATATTGCTGATTCTTCTTTGGATCTTATCAAGGAGATGAAGGTAAATAGCAGGTGCACCGGACCATATGTGGCAACATTATTCTAAGCATGGGTGAATGATAGACTTCTAGACATGCAAAGAGAGAAGAATTGTCTTGCCTGGCACAGTGAACTGACTTTCTTAGAGTGTTTTTGACTTTGAAGTATTCTCCAAATATGGATTTTGCATTCCTGTGAGTATGTAAGAAAGTATTTTCTCTTTCCTCTTATTTACCAGTCATCCAATTTGTCTTATATCTGCATATCACAAGTGCAGGTGTGTTGACCACCTGTCCATATGTTGGGGTAGCCAGAGATATCTCGTGAGATGGAAACTGCACCAGGTTCTAGTAAGCCACTTCTTAGTTCAATCTCCTGATAGATCCAGCTTCTCTGATGGACACTGACAGCAAAGATTATTTTTGCATTATCCAAATTGAGTCACAAACTAAAAATACTGTTTCTTTCTCTTTTAAATATAATGATAGCAGAAAATTAAACATGCAAAGTTTATTATTTTGAATTCTTTTTGATATTTTCTCATGATTTAATCAAATCATTTGTCAGTCCCATGAATTTTTCTTAGATTTGAGTCAAAATTCTTGGCAATTTTATTATCTTGTAAATATAATGATAGCAAAGCAATAATTAAACATGCAAAGTTTATTTGTTGAATTCCATTCAATATTTTCTCATCATTTAATCATTTGTTGGTCTCATGAAATAATCTGACACATGTTTTTGAAAATATCAAGAAAAGATATAAAATTATGAGATGCTTATTCCTAAAATGTATCTTTGGAATATCATACTTGGTAAATATACTCTCTCCAAAAAAAAAAAAAGATAAAAAGAAACCAAATCTTAACTGTTTCTCTCATCCACTGAAACCTTAATTCCCATAATTCCACACACAATCAAAATGACTAACCAGAAATATAAAGGACAAGAGCAAAGGGAGAGCAATTTCCTTCAGCATCAAAGAAGATATTTGTTTGTTCTTCCTTTCATCTCTTCTTTCATCTTCTTTCATCTCTCTTATCACAAAGTAGAAAAATGACCAGAAAAATATAACAAAGGAATAAGGACTTTAAAAAAAAAAAAAAAAAATCCAACTTGATTATGGTAATGGTAGGCATCCATATTTCACATTCAACCTGTTGATGTTCATTAGGAACTTAAGCTTTGACTCAGATGACAATCACAATGTGTAATTGACCTAGGCGCAGGGGATTTACTATTCAGATTGTACTTCCTTTTTACATGCAAAGAAAACTATCTGCACATTTTATGTCTGCGCTTTATATTACAATAATATTAAAAGCTTTTTTTTAAAGTAGCAAAGTATTCACTTCTGGACTAGAAGGGGTGTGAGGAGGTACTGATACAAAAAATGGAATCATCAAGCCAAATTCAAATTATACTTGTATTAAGGCTCTTGAAAAAGGCATGGACCTGTCTCTCCCTGCATTTTATATATATTCCAAAGGCAATATTATTTCAACATTCATATTACTTTATAAAATTTGAGTATATTTCTCTAAAGTCATAAGTCAGTATAAAATATTACAAAGAATAGTTCAGTATACTTCTTTGATATCCGGACTCATTTTTGCTTGTAGAATCTGCCAATAAGCTTTGACAGTTGTAATTATTTGGGAATAGTAATATGAGCGTGTGAGTAATGATGAGGTTTTGAAGAGGATGCAAGCAAAGAGGAAGCTTATACTTAACATCAGGAAGAGGCAGCTGAAATTTCTGGGATACATAATGAGAAAGGGGGCTTGGAGAATCTGATACTCTAAGGTCAAATAGAGGGAAAGAGAGAGAAGGGAAAGCAACGTATGACATACCTAGCAGGCTTAAGTGGATAACAGAACATGGCCTGGAGGTAGTAGCAAAGGGACAAGACTTATTGAGAGCATCAAGGGATTGAGGGAAGTGGAGGTCCATGATCACCTACGCCCTGAAGAGACACGGCATATAAAAAGAAAAGAATGGTAATATTAGCTGTTTGCCTACAAGGAAACATTCAGCATTCATTGACCAATCAGCCAGTACTGCTTGAGATTGAAATTTATAAAATCTTTCTCTTAAAATAATCTTTCATAAAAATAGATTTCTCAAGTCCATTAGCTGTTATTGCTCTTTCTATTATTGATGAGTTCAAGTGAATTATCTTGTTAGCAGATGCACAAGTTTTGTGTCAAAACTTTCATTATGGCCAGATGTTTGATAAATCAAACATAAATAAGCTTATATGGATTAATGGCATAATGGTGAGTAGGAAGGATGGTAAAATGTATGTATATTCCTCATCCATTTTTCAATTATTATCAAAGATTTTAAAGGTAATATTAGATGTTTCCTTACAAGGAAACATTTGGTATTCATTAAGTGAGCAGCCAGTACTCCTTTTGGTTATAATATATTAAATCTTTTTCTTAAACCCATTTTTCAGGAAAATAGGTTTCTCAAGTCTAGTTGCTTTTATCGCTCTCTCTAGTATTCATGGGGGTTTCCTTCCTAGCTTTTTATTTGAAGTAGTGTTAAATGTTGAAATCTTGATGATTTCATTATTTTCTCTTTGAGTTACATGTGATATCCATTTTAGTTGTTGCTTTTGTTCAAAGTCATCTAATGATGTGGTTTCTCTTATTTGGCACAGTTCTTTGTTTGTGATTATTTAGTGCC